CTCATGTGCGGAAAACATTGTGTGATGCGTTGTGATCGAGCCGGCTCCTTTCCTTTGAAAACGTAGTACCTGAAACCAAAACTGAAAACCGTAAGCACGAAGCTTAGTGAGTTCCCCCATCATACTACACACCATACAATAACGTACATAACGTACTGTCAGGCGATTCCGTGGTGCCTGACCTACCCATGTCAAGCCATTATGGGGTGCTTGACTTACCCAGATCAAGCCATTCTGGGGTGCTTGACTTACCCATGTCAAGCCATTATGGGGTGCTTGACTTACCCATGTCAAGCCATTGTGGGGTGCTTGACTTACCCATCGGTTTATCTCAACCGACTACTGGGGACTATTTCACCCCTACCACTACCACATAATAACATAACATAAACATACTGCTAGGCATGCATGGGTACTGACTACCCCTTCGATATCTTTCAACCGGTATTCGGGGACTATTTCACCCCTACTACTACTAACACATATAACAAAGCATCCTAGCATATAAAGCATATCAGATAGTGGCAACCTAGATAATTATCATAAAGACAATCATCTCATACATAATCACCTACTGGTGGGCCGGCATTGGTGCCTTAGACCCACCTCTACTAGAAGGTAACTCACCTCACACTGCTGAAGTCCCGCAGATACAACCCCAGTTGCTGGATGACAGATTCCCGAACTGTCAATATCAAAACATCACCCAATTAATAATTGGGTCCCAACACATAACCATAAGTTCTTGGAGTAACAGGCTACATTACCCCATCTTGGCTTGATTCAAGCCCAAGGCCCAATCCAAAGGCCTAAAAGTCAAACTAGGAATCAAAGCCCAACATATGGCCCAATTTTCCAAATTGGGCCCAAACTTTTACATGGTCTTATTCTAAGGCCCAACCATTTAGTCCAGTCCAAACATTTGGCATTTCTAATGGCCCAATATTTCATAACCATAAAGGCCCAATTATGGCCCATCTATGGCCCAATTTTCCAAATTGGGCCCAAACCCTCTCATGGGCCTTACCCTAAAGCCTATTAAATTATTATAGTCCATATGATTGTTCTTGGATGGCCCATCAATATCCCAATCACCAAAGCCCAATAGAAAGGCCCAACTCAAAGCCCAAGTGAAATTAGGGTTTTCACATAAAATGACGATTACGGTTAAGTGTTTCTCACTTAACCCATTAAGGACTTAATCCATTAAGTCCATCACTCTACTAGATAAGTCATACGGTGTGATTGGGTGTAATTCACAATTCCATTTGTGACAACCCGAAATCTCTTTCGTTCAAATCGTTAAAAATAAATCAATTTAGAATTTATTTATGCTCTTGCCGTCATTATTTGAGCTTAATTATCTATTCTAGGCTCGGTCCAATTAAGTTTTGGGTTCAAAATCGAGATTCCTAAGTCAAAGCATAGCATCCGGGCCAAGCACCCCTTTCGAGAAGAGTTTACGACCGCAAACTCAGTTTACGGCCGCAAACTCAGTTTACGACCGTAAACCCTGTTCACGGCCGTAAACCCCCACCAACCCCCTTGGCCGTAAACTCACCCCTATATAAGGGATGAGTGGCCTTCATTTCTCACTTTGCACATCACAGGAGCTTTCTCTCTCTACTCTCTCTCTCTACCTTCATCGAAAAGTCTTCAAGATCTTCAAGTTGTAAGTGTTTTTCACCTCTAATTGTTGCTTCATTCCTCTATCTAGTGGTAAATCCATGTTTCTATCTCATTAAATCTCATCTTTGTCTAGATTTTCTCTCTCACCAAGAACACCAAGAACACACACTAGTTCTTGGTGGCTAAAAACCTCATTCCAAGCCTCTTACAGTAAGCAACTACTCCCTATGCTTGGCATCTGCTAGAAACTTTGGGTTTTCACCTAAAAATCGACCCCAAAAGACATGAACACGAAGGGTTTACGGCCGTAAACCCTGTGTACGGCCGTACACCCCTCATTAGCCGTAAACCCTAGTGAATGGTCAAGAATCGACCTTAAACTCCCCTTTTAACTATGCACGAGGCTTAGAACATTTCCATGAGGCTAGAAATGACCTTGAAACACCGAAAATCGTATCCCTCATCAAGTGTTTACGGCCGTAAACACATGGGCCGTAAACCCATGAACCGTAAACACATGGGCCGTAAACCCATGAACCGTAAACCCATGAACCGTAAACCCATGGACCGTAAACCCATGAACCGTAAACACATGGGCCGTAAACCCATGGACCGTAAACCCATGAACCGTAAACACATGGGCCGTAAACCCATGAACCGTAAACCCATGGACCGTAAACACAATAATTTGGCCTTAAACTCCTTAGATGCAATCCTTTGTGGTCATAACACTTCTATATGAGTGTTTCCTAGCCCTAAGATGTTTCACTCACTTGATTAGTGGGGTAAACACTAATTATATCCATTTGTGTCCTTGTATGCTTATTAGGATCTGTGTGTGTACTCAAGTATCCACTTGGCATCTAGCATCCTATACCACTCTTTCATCCAACTACTCACTGCAGGTGAGTTCATACCCCTACATTTTCCGTATTTTTAATGTTTTCAGGGGGGGGGGGAATACAAGCTAAACATAAATGTTTTCAAAACTTATGCAAATCTCATACTTTAACCCTTTTTTACTGTGTTGAGCATAAGGGACGTTTTCACTAAAATTGCATAGTTTTCCGGACACACTATTCACTATACATGCAAACTATAAACGGTATAGTTTGGGATTTTCTAAACATAACGAGTACAAAAACCTTCACTACTAAACATATGCACTAAGACAGAAATAGTTTACAGTTACATCACTACTTTATCATGGTTTTCATAACTATAATTATCACTACATACGGTATACATACAGATTTTCACTACGGTAGAACACTACTACATTACATGTAAACAAGATTGTACGATACTGTGAGACGCTACTTCAATACTGTACCCTTAGGTGTACATGGATAAATCCTATCATAGTATAACCAGAGTCTCCTGGAGGGAGAGCGTGAGATTTGTGAATAGATCTATTCGGGACTGACAATCCCACATCTGAACTGCTAGCTACAGTTAGGCGGGCACGCCTGGGGTGTACAAATGTCATTTAACTCGACGCCTGGAGAACGTTGGAAAGGTCTCTAGTCATATCAAACATGGTTATACGACTCACAATATGTATAAATCACTCTTGGTTTACAAACTGTCATTCTTCAACAGTTTTATTTTATTAAATAGAACTAATACACACTACAACTGGAGGATTTCCAGGGTTTTCAAACAGAACCGAACATACAATGGTTTCACGTACGAAATACTTATACATCATGACTAGCATTAGTTAGTCACATGAAGTATTATTTCCGTGCATCACTACAGTTTTCAGTAATAAACATTCACGACTTCATACAGAATTGAGAACACTACCTTTTCATTAAAGAAAATATCGAATTTTCTTGAAATTATACAAACACTTTTACAAGCTCATCAACAAGTTTTCATTACAAACTACCGCTTATGAACTCACCAGCTTTATGCTGATATTCTTTCAAACTGCTTGTATTATCAGGAAATCAGTAGACAGGTGCTTGCTGGATTTTTGAGGAACTGGAGCAATAAGAGTTTTATGTTTATACTATACAAAGCTATTTGATGTAATTCAAACAAAGTTTCAGACAAAGTTTCAAACTGATGTAAACATTTTTATTTAAGTATTCACTGTAATCGTTGTGTTGCTATGATTGCTATTATTCATTGGTTGTGATGCTACAAATGACGTCCTCCACCCCAGAACGTTTCCGCCATTCTGGTTTTGGGGTGTGACACCATTCAAATGGCCCAAATGTGGGTCCCGATAAGTCCAAGCCCATGATTCCAAAATTAGGGTTTTCTAAACCCTAATTAGGGTTTCCCACCCAATCATAGCCCGATTTTAATGCCAGCTTGCTGTTCAAAAAAAAAAAAAAAACAAGTCGAAAATGTAAAAAAAAAATTGATTTTCATAGGACAATGAAATATAGCATTTTTTTAAGGAATAGAGTTTCTTCTTGATTGGTTTTCTTTCCATTGGATATGGTGCTTTTGCTTGAAGTTGGTGGTTCAAGTGTCGTTGTGGACAAATGAACTTAAAGAGTAGTTTTAGAGTAGATTAGATTTGTCGTTCATAAAAAAAAAAGAATATGATACCTTTGCTTGATAAATGATATGATATATATTTTGTAATTATAAATTATTTTTATTTTTATACTCTTTAATAAAAAATTTATATAAAACTTCAATTAAATGAATAATTTTATTTTATTTTTAAAAATAAATGTATTCTTTATATTATAACTAAATTTTAAGATTTCTAGATATTTAGTTATTTTTACTTTATAACATTTTTTATATCATATGTTATTTTTTTTAACTATTTGAAAAACATATAAAATATATTTTAAATGAAATATATAACCTATTTTATTACTTTTCTAATTTTATTACGTTGTTTATTTTTTTCGATTTTATTAAAACTTATCAAACATAAATGGTCAATAACACTAATGGTGATCATATTCAAAGAATGATTGATCAAGAATAAATATATAGTAGACCTTCATGATCCAAGAATGACCTAGCCATCACAAAAAAAAAAAACTAATGGACTTTTTTTTTTTTAATTTGATAAGATAATAACTTTAATAAAAAAATCGTATAAAATGGTGAAAGATAATGCCATAATGGTTGTTCTTAACTTTAAATAAAAGAAAAACTACAACCGTCCTGACACAGGAGCAACGTTTTGTGGGGTTTGAACGCTTAAACGTTCAAGTTCGACCGGAGTTACTACAATCACGCGTATGCACGTCGGTTTCATCCAATAGCTGTATGACACGTTGTCAAGATACGTGTTTGAACCAATGGGGACGCTAGACGTTGAATACAGAATACTAGTCTTTCTATCTTTCGAAAGTCAACACCAAACTTCAACCTCCCCTTTCTGAAGCTTTAAATAATAAATATGCAACCAAAACCAAACCTGCACTGCATAGATAAAGTTTGTAAGCAAAGCATTATACTCTTCCGTGTCGTAGCCTCACCGGAAACAATAGCGATAACCTCGGACTTTCTCCGGCGTTTCTCCGATCTCCGTACACAATCATGGTAATGCTTATATGGATCTTAGTTTCTGCATTTTTTTTATTCATAATTCAACATCATTCTTTTACCTATAAGATCAAAACGACCTACTTACATTCTTCTGTGTTATCGCGGTAGTGCTTTGATTTTCATCCGTTTGTTTCTCGTTTCCTTCTCACATTGTAATACTATCCAATTTAGACAAAAACAAAATCTAAGGATCACGTTTGTAGTGCTGTTTTCGATATGGTTCCATTTGTTTTTGGAGTTTTAACTCTCAATCCAATTTTATCATGAATTATGGAAAAAATCGCTCAGATATCACCTACGAAGGTTTATGTTATTAGGTTGGATCCATCTGGTGTATACTGGTATTGCAACATAACATATTAAGTATGTTGTTATGAATCCTCTGTTATTAACCAAGGATGTAGTTTCGCATAGCCTTTCTTGCTCAATTTGATGATAAGCATTGCATGATTTTTTTTGAGATGATTATGTGTACCTTTGAAGAACACATCCAAATAAAATTGGAATGTATAAACTTTTAAAAATGAAAATGTGATAAAATAAGTTGTAGAGATTGGAAACATCAATGAAAGCATGTTCAGTATTAGAAATTAAAATAACCATCTACTCACTATCCCCTGTCATTACAATTTTTAATTGAAGGTAGTGAAACTTCAATTTTGATTACACAAGTCTAAGTCTAACAAACATCATTAATTTCTTTTGCATATTTGTGTTACAGACAACTTCAAAACGTCTTGCTGAAAGGAAGGTGGGGAAGTTCGATAAGAACATCAACAGGCGTGGATCTGTTCCTGAAACATCCACCAAAAAGGGGAATACCTATCCAGTTGGCCCTATTATGCTTGGCTTCTTTATATTTGTCGTCATTGGATCATGTAAGACTCACACTCACTCCATACAAAAATTCAAAATTTGACTCATTCTCTACTTGTCCATTGAGAAAAAAATTAATTCTAATTTTGCTTTTCTTGTACGATCATCCAGCTCTGTTTCAGATCATCAGGACAGCTACAACTGGTGGAATGCCTTGAAGATCCTCAAAATTTAACCATTTGTTAATTGTAATTTGTAATTCTCTTTTTTATCACACAAAACAAAACGCTGAAATATAAACCATTTGGGTTTTTACTTTTTTTTTTTTTTTTTTTTTTTCATCTTCACACACCATAATTAATAACATGCACAAATGAAAATCGAAAATGGTCTGGAAATGAAAAATACAAGAATTTTAACGATATCATTATCAAGCCATTGCTGTTAAGGATGGATGAAACGCAGTCCCACAGGCAATCCATACTCCCTTCCGCACACAACCATTTACCTTCAACCATTCCTTCTTCAAAATATCATAAGTAATCAATCGATTTGTCATTTTGGATTCAAGAGAAAACATAACCAATCCTCCGTTACCCAAGCAAGACAACTTAACGTGCTTTCCATACAACTCCAAGCACAAAACATTTGGCATTCTGTCAACCTCCGTCCACAAGACCGTCATCTTCTGAAGCTCCCATACACAAACACAGCTAGCAGGACCCTTCGTCACCACCCCCACCATCATAATCCGTCCTCCACATTCCGTCAACGCATGGTCCCTCGATTCCGGCGGGAATGGAATCAGGTATTCCTTCCAAACTCCGGAATCCATTTCAAACGACACTATCCCATCCGGATCCGACCTTAGAAAATACAACCACCCATCTGCCGCCACAACCTGTAAAGTTAAGTTTAACGATAATGGTAGCTTGATACATTCCGGCATCGTTCCTAGGCGTTGCCACCTGTCGTTTCTGGAATTGTAAACCTCGTACTCGCCATTAGAGGAAAGCCACATGATCTTATAGGCCCCACTTGATTTTTCACTAATCATTCCGACAGCTACTCTTTGCCAGACTTTCGCCGATCTAGTGGGTAATTCTTTGAAGGAACTGGTTAGAGGGTTGCACACGTAGAAGGTTCTATGTCCGATGTCGAGAAAACAGAGGAGACCACCGGCGGAAGCCACCGGGAAAAAAATGGTGTTTGTGGGTATTTTGGGGAGAATCGGGTGGTGCCATTTTCTTGAGACTGGGTCGTACATAGCTCCTGAGTTGACGTTTTCATGCGTTATGGTGTAAAACCAAGGTTGGGGTGGCCGGAATTGAGAACACTGACTGGTGAAGCCGTCGGAAGTCAGTAAGGAGTTCCAGTTCCGGCAAACTGATCGGAAACGGAAGAATGCGGCGATCGGAAGTCTTGCGATGACAGCCTCGTATAGGTCGTCCGGGAAGTATCTCCAGATCTCTTCCATGGTCTCGTTTGATTTTGAACCACAAGTTTCGATTCGTTTTGGCTCCTTTGGAGTTCTCTTTGATTTCCTGGCTTTCATTAAATTAGAATCGATCTCAATAATTGGGTAAATATTAAATAAGGGCATAAATAGAAGAACCTGTCGTCATGAAGTTGTGATGGCCACGGCGGTGGTAGTGTCGTCGGAGGTTGAGAATGAAAGAAGTACGACGGCGGGGCAACTGGAGGCGGTGGAGGAGTAGGAAAACCATGGAGATCTACGAGGTCTTGAACTTGACTGATAAGCTGCCGGAACATTTGTTAACTCCGATATTTAGTGTTGTTGTTCTTTAGGTCTCCATGACTTATTCACAGAAAGCATTACAATTGAATTAGATTAAAATATTATGGAGATAGTGGATCACCAATCACCATAGAAACAAAGAATCTGATTAGTTGCTTACATGAATTTAAAGTATATAGCGACAGTGAACTTTTTGAATTGGATATTTTTTTAAAGAAAATTAGCCATTAATTTCATTTATTGTAGATCCAAGATGTTACGATTTAATTAACATAAAATCAAAAGCTTCTAATCTAGCTAATTTCATTTATTGTAGATCCAAGATGTTACGATTTAATTAACATAAAATCAAAAGCTTCTACTCTAGCTATACGAGGTATGTTGATTAAAAGTTTGAGATGAAAGATATAGCTCAAGAGTATAAATAGGGTTGAAGTCTTGGATTAGACCGGACGGTATGGGTGAATGAAAGATGAGTGGAAGCGGGAACCGCACCCAAGAACACCACACTCTGACTGTGGTTTAGGGGTGAGGGGAAGATACCCCGCTCCCTCTCTCTTCCTTCCATGGTTCGTGTTCTTGACAAACAGATGTGCAAATGATTTGGTTCAGATCTTCCATGATGTATTGAGAGATCTTCCATGATGTATTGAGAGACAGAGGTTACCATCTCTTCGCTAATGCCATCGACACTTCCGACATCAACAACGATATCAAATCCAACAACTTCACCTTATTTGCGCTGATGTCTATCTATTAAGAGCCTTTTGCTTGGTGAGAATTACTTTCCTACGCTCATAACCGGTCATAATATTCTCGTCGGACAACATCGGGAACCAAAATCATTGATTACAGTCGGAGGTGTTCAATTGTTGTTCCTGGTGTGTTGTATGGTGTGTGTGTGTGTATATATATATATATATATATATATATATATATATATATATATATATATATTTCTGCACATATTAGATGGTATTCTCGAGTTCATACCTCATTTAAGAAGTTCACTTTTGAATGTGTTGATTGGTTGGTCAAAGTTTTTTTATGTCGTATAGACGTGTGTATTTATATGAACCTCATATGGAGAAAAAATGAGTGTCTCTTGAGTCGATTATGATGAAGTTTAATCTTAAGTTGTTTGAAGAAGAGTGGTGGTTGGTTTCTGCAAATGGGGAGCTACAAAAAGCTTTGTGGAAGAAGAAGAGGATAGGTGAGATGTGAGGTAGATTTTAGTTTTATTTTATTTTTTAGTGAAAAAAGTCTCATCCATTGTTTTGAAAACCGGACCGGACCGGCCGGTTGAACCAGAACCGGTCGTTGTTTCGGTTCTTTACCCCCGAAAACGTTCGTCCCTTAAACCGAAAAAAACACCGGTTTTCTTCGACCCGCGGTCCAACCAGGCCGGTTCAACCGCCTTGAGAACCGGTTTTATTTATTTATTTTTTGTTTTCTCAAAAATCATCGGGAAAAAGCTATCTTAATCGAGTATCAACCGAAGAGAACCACCGATTGTCGTTTGCAACCCAAACTCTAAACCTAATGTCGACTAACACAATCGACTAAAGAGAAAAGTACCTCCGATTTTCAATTTCTCCTTGTTCGAAATCATCACAGTGACACAGAAGGCAAGGATTTCTCCGATTTGTACTCCACCATTGGCGACTCGGCGAGGATTCCTTATGATTTCCACCACAGTCTACACTTCCATAATACAAAGGTAAAGTAGTCGACACTTCCTATCAGGGTATCACTGTTTCTCTTTTATATATACTAAAACTAAATGCCTATATATGGCTCCTGTGTTGGGGTCAGAACTAGGGATGAAAGTGGGTCCAAATCGGACCGGATGGACCCGGACCCGGAAAACCCGGAACCGGTTAACGGGATTTTGTAGAACCGGAAACCGGACCGGTATATAGGAACCGGTTCCGGTTCGGTTCCGGGTATGGTTCCGGGTAAAGTGGGTCTAGAACCGAAAAACCCGGAAACATCAAAGTGGGTAGGTTGGAACCGGATAAAGTGGGTTTAGAACCGGAAAACCCGGAACCGGTTAACGGGATTTTGTAGAACCGAAAACCGGACCGGTATATAGGAACCGGTTCCGGTTCGGTTCCGGGTATGGTTCCGGGTAAAGTGGGTCTAGAACCGAAAAACCCGGAAACATCAAAGTGGGTAGGTTGGAACCGGATAAAGTGGGTTTAGAACCGGAAAACCCGGAAAAACCGGAATTTTTTGGTAATTACTTACTACTTAGTGGGTTGAACTTTGAAAATTTTCATATTGATATCCCGACTTTGGGGGACTATAACTCATTGAATATGAAACCAAAATTAACAAAATTATAGTCTAAAATCATGTACAAACTCTAAAATACACTCTGAAAAAAACCGCATGTTAATTTAACTTTAAACGAATGAGATATGCATGTGTTAACATTTTCACATAATACACAGTACAAAAACAAATATCTGAAAAGTTGAAAATTTTCAGTTTTGATATCCCGACTTCGCAGGACTGTAAATCATTGAATGTTAACCCAAAAATGACAAAATTATAGTCTAAACTCATGTACATACTGTAAACTACAAGTTGGAAAAAACCACATGTGAATCCGACTTCAAACGAATTAGATATGCATGTTTTAAAACTTTCACCGAATACAAAAAAACTGAAAAACTAAAAATTTCCAGCTTTGATATCTCGACTTTCGGGGACTGTAAATCAATGAATATAAAACTAAAAATAGAAAATTTATAGTCTAAAATCATGTACAAACTCTAAACTATATGTTGGAAAAAACCGCATGTCAATCGGAGTTGAAACGAATGAGATATACATCTTTTAAACGTTTCACAAAAACCGGTTCCGGTCGTAAAAGTGGTTCCGGTTTTTAGACCCGGTTTAGCCGGACCCGATGGACCCAAAACCGGATTACCCGGAACCCGGATAAAGCCATTTTTTAAACCCGGAACCGGAACCGGTTCTATATATTCCGGTTCTAATGGTTCCGATTCCGGTTCCGGTCTGGTTTTCCGGTTCTGAATCTCATCCCTAGTCAGAACTATTTTCAGAATCATAAAACATTTGGAGCTTTTCTACGGTTAACATTGATGTTGGTGATGTAATATCATCAATATTATTTAAGTGTAATAGGATTAAATTTGTTGACCAAAAGTGATATTGTTAAATATTGAACAAGTTAGGATGGTGCAGGAGTGTACACTTGTTCAAATTTTCAAGATTCAAAGCACAATGTTATTTGGGGGTGAAGCCCCTAAACGAACGGGGTCCGGGTGCAACACCCTTGGGAGCGGAGTCCAAGATGCAGATCCCCTAGTTGGGGTCGATTTTTAGAAAATGGACTCATTTTGACCAATTTCCCTGAGATTTATTTATGACAGGTCCAATAACCTCTAATATCTGAAAATACAAATACTAATATCATCATTATTAATAATAGCGGAAGCAAATAGAAATTTAAATAAACACTTGGAGCGTTACATATTCTTCAAAACTTGTTGTCGTCTTC